TGGAGGCCCGGACCCCGTGCAGAGCTCTCCTGGAGGCCCGGACCCCGTGCAGAGCTCTCGTGGAGGCCCGGACCCCGTGCAGAGCTCTCCTGGAGGCCCGGACCCCGTGCAGAGCTCTCCTGGAGGCCCGGACCCCGTGCAGAGCTCTCGTGGAGGCCCATCAGGGTGGAGGCCCCGGACCCCAGTGCAGTGGCCTGGGCATGCCCGTGTGGACTTGAACAGTTCTACCTGCTAAGATAGAGCTCGGCGGGGACACTTGGCTCACCAATCTCACACCCAACACCACACATCACAGTCCTGTGGGAACCACAGCCAGGAGCTCGTGTCAAGCCTGGAAGCTGGGAGACTGAGCCCACCAGGAAGCCCTGCCCCCCACCCCCACCCACAGGCATTCTCTTCCAAGTCCTGTATTCGCCATGTCCTTCCAGGGCCTCCAGCAGCGTCTGCGCACACGGGGGCAGAGGGTGAGCGCTCTGTCACTCCCCATCCTGTCAGCCCTCAGGACAGCCGCCATGCCAGGCAGGAAGTTGGGGAGGCCGCCTCACCTTTCTGGTCCTGGGCCAAGGCACTGAGGGCCAGCAGGAGGACCACGAGCAGGACACAGGTTGCCTTGTGCTCCATGGCAGCCTCTCTTCCTCTCCAGTCTCCAGGAGACCTCCAGGCGGGGTGAGAGTCCGTGCGAGCTCTCAGCTTTATACTGCTGGCCCTGTTTGCACAAAGATCGCCAGCCAACATTTGCTTAAGGAGGTCCACGCACAGTAATCTCCACTGATTGCAGGTGGTTCGAGGCAGGGCCACCAGGCGCCCTGTGCTCCGAGGGGACGTGCTTGGTCAAGTAGTCATCTCCACTCAGGGTGTGAGATTCCCCAAGTCTCTCTCTGACGCCCTGGCCTCTTCCAGGCTGACTTTGATCCAGGTTCCAGTGGGATCTGTGGAGCCCCCGCCAGAGGAGACCTGGCCTCCTGGGATAGAGAACGCTCCGGGCAGGAGATGACCCCAGAGACCGGGTTCTGTTATCACTGTCCCTTCTGCCAGCCGGCCTCTCCCCTGGGGGAGGCCTTGTGCCGGAATCTGAGCCACTCGGAGTTAATCGTTCCCGGCCTGGGAATGAAATGGCCAAACCCTATGATGTTTAATGTAAACCTCTCTCCCCCAAACAAGGTAAATCAAACAAAATCCACACTGTTCTTCAAGGGAGAGTCATTAGTACTGTCAGTGTGACAGACGGCGCAGATGACCCCCAGAACACCAGCAGATGAACCCTAGATGAGCCCGCAGCGCAACGCATGGCGTATGTCCACACACAATGACGTTACTGTGCGGAGGAGACACGGATCATCCGTGGTCACTGCAGGGTTGGTCATTCCAGCCAGGCCTGGACGGAACTTCAGTGTCCACCCACTGATGAGTGGACAAAGAAAGCCCAGCATGCAGTGCAAGGGACAACTGAGCCATGGAAATCATGAGGCCCCGGCAGAAGTAGACTCAAGGTCATCCCGTTAAGAGAAATAAGTCAGGCAGAGAAAGACAAGCAGTGTATGTTCTCGATTCCTATGGAAACTAAGCAGTGGATATAGTTGTAGAGCTCTGGGAAGGGTGAGGAGGGAGGAAGAGAGGAGAGACAATGGTTAATGATAATGGGTCCCATTGGACAACAGCAATGACTGCTAATGTGCTACACACCAGTAGGCCACCACAGCTGGCCACACTGACTAATGTGTCACAATAGCTAGTGAAGGATCTCCAAGGTTTCCAGCACAAAACAATGACATGTCCAAGATCATGAGTGTGCCGGCTCCCTGAGCTGCACCACAGCCCCACGCCACACATGCACGTGTCGGAGAGTCCCTGTGCATGGCGAAGATACAAATACATGCCAAACACCCCAGACTCTCCCCGGTCATCGTGTGAGTGTGCCAGCGCCTTCTGCGTTCGGGGAACTCCCTGTTGCCAGCCAGGGACCCCTCCCCTCTCTCACTCCACATGACTTGGCCGGGACTGACGGCCCCCCAGCCACCATGGGGAGAGGAGGCCGAAGGAGGAGCAGCCTCGGGCCTGCCCTGCTCCCTGCCGCCCTGCCCACTGGCCCCAGGAAGGCAGATGGTGCTCCTGGGCCTCCGGCAGGTGCTGTGCGCCCCTCTCTGGGGCCTCGCTTTTCTGTTCATCTCACTTGGTGGTTGTTGTTTTTATTTTTTCAGTCGTAGAATTTGAATTCAGGGTCTTGGGTTTCCTAGGCAGGTCGTCCGAGCCAGGTCTTTGGCACTGGCCCTACTTTTTATTTATTTCTAAATGAACAAGTAAAAATGTATATGTGTGTGTGTGCACGCACATTTGCATGTATATGTATGTACCATGTATGATACATATGTATATATGGTATATAACATGATTCCAAATATGCATGTACACTAAGGGATGGAAAGAGCAAGCTATTTTACCCACATACTCCTTTTTTTGTGTGTGGTGGGACATTTCAAATCCAATCCGATTTTTTTTTATATAGTACGTCACCGTAGACGCGTGGCAGTCTGATGGATGGCGGGTCTCTTGAACTCATTCCCTTTGTCTAACTGAAGCTTTTTGAGCTTTAACCAGCATCTTTTCACTCCACGGCTCTCGTGCCTAGCGCTGTTCCACTCCGCTTCCTCGAATGCAGCACTTTTAGGTTTCATGGGTAAGGTGTGAGATTTCAGTGAAGAGGAAGTCTTCTGGGGTCAGCCAAGTTGTCCTAGAATTTACTATAGACCCCAGGGAGCTAGGACAAGAGGGGTCCCGGGGAAAGGGAAATCATCAGGCTTTCTGGGTGTCATCAAACATTGGCTCTGAGTTGACCCTAGTTCCCAGAACCCCAGAGCCACCGTGGTCCACAAAGCATCGCTTGCTGACATCGGGGCATGGGTAGCTGGGGGAGACCTGGGCTGATATTACCCTCTCCCGCCATGAGACCCCTGTGATCCATCACAGACACCTTTCTGCTTGTAATCATATTACATTACAGTGTTAAAGCAAGGAGAACTGGACAAAAAAGTTCACAAGCAACTTAAGAACAACATAAGAGCCAAAGTCACCAGTGGGTACCACGCACGGAAGAGCACAGAGGAGGGGAGGGCTGTGACTTTTCTGAGATTCTGCTTTCCAATTCACTCGATTCTTTCTGTAATGTACTTAGCTCATTTGTAATCATTGAAAACTCTGTGTTTTAAAATGCAATGTGGTAATCTTGCTCTTTCCAGAAAGAAAGGAGGGCAATCTGTTCACACACACACACACCACACACACACACACACCACACACACACACACACACACCACACACACACACACACCACACACATACACACACCACACACACACACACATACACACACACACACACCACACACACACAACATACACACACACACACACCACACACACACAACATACACACACACACACCACACACACACACACACACACACATACACACACACACACACACACACGGCTGCTGAGTCGGGGGCAGGATCCAGAGGCAGTGACTGTGAGTCTCTGCAGGCCACACCCCACGGGCGCCTGCCGTGATCTGTCTGCACACCTTCCCTGAAGTTAAACACAGAGCTGAGGTTAGGCGTTAGGCTGCCTGCAGTATCTTAGATCCCAGGCAAGGGCAGCCACCGTGCACATCGGTTCCACCTCACCCCACCCAGCAAATCCCGGAAGCCCACTCGGCACTTGCCAGTGAACTCAGCTTGGCCCGGGGAGCGGGTGGCACACATCCGAACCCAGCTGCGGTCACATGGAGACTCCACTCCCGAGCCTCCTGTCCTCCCTTCTCCCAGCCTTACACAGAGCCGGCTTGCACCACGCTTCTGCTCCAGAGAAGAAGACTACGGCAGCACAGAAACACCTTCCAGGCATCAAGACTCCAAAAAAGACCAAGGCCTGACTGTGGCCTCCCAGGGAACAAGAGGACTCTGGACTCAGGCCTACGTGCTACTCCTGTCGTGGCCATGAGCACTGTTTGTTCTAGCCCACGGTTCCCCTGTCCCCCTCATCCCCTGCCATCCTCCCCACACCTTTCCAGTAGAGCCTCAGCGTGGTTCCCCCCCCTTCCCCCCTCCCCTGAGACTGTCTGTCTGTCTCTGCTGAGGATCTTTGTGGCACTTCGTACATACCTGCAATGCGTTTCAGTGTTATTCATCCTTCATCTTTGCCCTCCCCACGTCCCCTCTTCTCTTCCTAAATAGCAGTTCAATTCATTTCTGTGTTTTTTAATATATAAAACTGTGTCTGTTCACATGTATGCACACATTTGTACACGTCCGTGAATGTGTAGGTCTTTAGGTCTAACTTTCACATGTGAATGAAAACATGGGATATTTTGTTTTTGTCTTTGGAGCTTGGCTTTTCTCACTTAATATGTCCTGTAATTACATCTTGAAATAACATGATTCCATTTTTCTTTATGGCTGTGCAATATTCCATGGTCTGTATCTATCATCTATCTCCATAGAGGAATGTGTAGGCCACCATTCAAGGAAGGGCTTAGGTCAGGTCTGTGTAGCCTTTATTAAGTTAGGGTACTTCCCTCTATTCCTGGGTTCTTCAGGCATATATCATTAAAGAATCTTGATTTTTTTTAATTTTTTTAAATTTTTTGTCAGTAGTGGGGCTTGAACTCTGGGCCTGAGTGCTGTCCCTCAGCTCTTCAGCTCAAGGCGAGCGCTCTACCACTTGAGCTACACGCCACTTCTGGTTTTCTGGTGGTTTATTGGAGATAAGAGTTTCATGGACTTTCCTGCCCAGACTGACTTTGCACCACAATCCTCAGAGCTCAGCCTCCTGAGTAGCTAGGATTACAGGCGTGAGCCACCGGCTAGAATCTTGAATTTTTGTCAATGACTTTTACTTCACCATTTGTGATGATCATGTAATTTTTATCCTTGGTCCTATTTATGTGATGTATGACATTATTTGACTTATGTATACTTAACTGTCCTGCATCCCTGAGATAAAACCAATTTGATTGTTGTTTATGGTCATTCTTTTCATTACTATAGAGTAGTTCTCTTCCTTGCCTCTTGACTAAGTTTTAGCTTGTAGTATATTTTATCAGATATCAATATGGCTACTCCTGCTTGTTTTCAAAATCCATTTGCTTGGAAGAACTTTTTCCATCCTTTCTCTCTAAGTCTGTGTTTGGCTTTGTCAGTGAAATGTGTATGCTGGAGGCATCAAATGACTGGGTCCACTCTTGAGAGGTAATGCCATTCTGTCTTCCACTGGGGGAGTTGAGCCTGCTGACTCTCAAGAACTAAGCTGTATTTCTGGTAAGCGTTTTGTGATGCTTGCTTCTTTTCTCTTCTGATTTACTAATCTACTTTTCCAGTAGGGTTTATTCTTGCCTGTACTTTTCTGTTTTGATTGTTTTTCGTCCATATGTAGGTTGTTCTTAAATATCTTTTGCAGTGTTGATTTGGTAGTCACAGATTCCTTTAGCTCTTGTTTATCCTGGAATATTTTTATTTCTCCATAAATTGAGGAGGTTCGCTTCACTGGGTGCGGTAGTCTGCTTAGCATGTGCTGTCGTTCACACTTGAAATACGTTCTGTCATCATCCCTGTTGTTGTTTGTGTTTGTGTTGAGAGAAATCTGCGGAGTCTTTGCCACTGTAAGTTACTGGTATCCTTCCTTTATTCTGCATGTTCATAGAGTGTTTGCTATAAACATGTGTCCCAGGTTGTTTCTCATCTTGTCTGCTTGGCTTTCTGTAAGCCTCCATCCCATGCATGATCCTCTCTTCTGCAAGGCCGAAGTTTTCTGCATTATTTTGTTGAGTGTGTGCCTTTAATTTATATTTCTTCTTCCTCATTCATCCTCTTCATTCATAAGTTTGGGTACTTTTTTGTTTTGTTTTGCTTTGTTTTGTTTTTGGTCAGAGGGCTTGAACTCTGGGCCTAGGCACAGTCCCTGAGCTCTTTAGCTCAAAGTGAGCACTCTACCACTTAAGCCACAGTGCCACTTCTGATTTTCTGGTAGATCATTGGAGATAAGAGTCTTATGGACTTTCCTGACCAGGCTGGCTTTGAGCCTTGATCCTCAGATCTCAGCTTTCTGAGTAGCTAGGATTACAGGTGTGAGCTACCGGTACCCGGCTTATTTTGATTGTTTTTGTTTCTCCCCTTACTGAGGCTTGAATTTAAGGTTTCATACTCTAGCTCCGGTTTTTCACTTGTGGCTGTTGCTCACTGCTTGAGCCACCCACCCCACCTCATTTGCAGTTTTCTGATGGTTAATTGGAAGTAAAAATCTCTCCCATTCATCCGTCTGGACTGGTTTCACCTAGATCCTCAGATGTCAGCCTTCTGAGGAACTGGCGTGATAGGCATAAGCCACTAGTACCTGGAAACCCTATTATTTTGATGGAGTCGGAAAGATTTAGAAGTCCTTTCATATCTCCTAAGCGTTTCTTGTATATCTTCAACTGTTTAAGGGAGACTTTTAAAGAAAGAGAAAGAAGGGCCTGCACAGGAAGTTACCTGTGGATAGGGTCTTCATCAACAGAGCTTCTTATTTTCTCCTCTCTCATGAACAAGGCAATAGATATCTACCTCCTGGGTCTGAAATTTCCTGTATTTCTTTTCAGACAGACAAACTACTTTTCCACCAGTTAAACTTTGGCAATATCCAAGCCGTGTGTGATCTGGCCAAGGAAGAGTCAGGTGTGGCGAGACACCCTCGGAATTACAGCTACTTGGAGGACAGAGGCAGCGAGACACCCTGGGAATTACAGCTACTTGGAGGACAGAGGCAGCCAGCAAAACAAAACAACAACAACCAAGCCCTGGGAGTGTGGCTCCAATGGCAGAGTGTTTGGCTGGCTTTGGCCTGGGTTTAATGGCACTAGTGGCGGGGAAGAGGGGAAACGCATCTGTAAATTTGTAAAAGGATCATTTAACAGTTAATATCTTAATCTTTTTCTTTGGTCCGTGTGGGGCTTAAACTCAGGACCTAAGCTCTGTCCCTGAGCTTTTGTGCTCAAGGCTAGTGCTCTACCACTTTGAGCCACACTGCCACTTCTGGTTTTCTGGTGGTTAATTGGAGATAAGAGTCTCATGGACTTTCCTGCTGCCTACACTGGCTTTGGACCTTGATCCTCAGAACTTAGCCTCTTGAGTAGCTAGGATTACAGGCAAGAGCCACCAGTGCCTGGCTTACCACCTTAATCCTTTAGGCCAGGTTCTTTAGCAGGGACATAATCCTTGTAAAACAATTAGAGGGGAAGCCAACTTGTGAAAGAGCAATGTGAGGCATGAGAATAACTTCCCAGGGCAGCTGCACTGCGGTCACTGTTTCCACAGGATTCCCGAGACGAGAAAAGCGATGCAGGCAGCTGGTGTACGTGCTCTGATCAATGGCAGCTGTGCATATCATCCACAACCGGGGGAGGAAACGTTGCTTCAGGAGCGCCAATGCTAACTAGAGAGGGAGAGAGCCGTGGCTAGCCCAGCCGCGTGCTTCCACCCCTCCTAAGCGACACATTGGCTAGAAAATCTCCTTTCACAAGTTGACGCTGTCTTTCATGAACTACCATGACTTTCAAAGAGATCTGCACACATATATTTGAAAGTTAAAATGAGGGGCTGGGAAGGTGGCTCAGTGGTAGAGTGTTTGCCCCTCATGCATGCGGCCCTGAGTTTGATTCCTCAGCACCACAGAAAAAGCCGGAAGTGGCGCTGTGGCTCAAGTGGTAGAGCACTAGCCTTGAGCTGAAGAGCTGAGGGACAGCGCCCAGACCCAGAGTTCAGGCCCCACAACCAACAGAAAAAAAAAAAAAAGTTAAAACGATGCTAACATTTTTCTATTATAATAGTTCCCCTTATCTAAGGTCTCTCTTTCTAAAGTTTTCATCACACAAAGTCAACTGTGGTACGAAGATGTCGCATGGCAAGTTCTAGAAATAATTTGTAAGCTGCTGTTAGTGACGCATCATCTGAAGAGAGTGATGAAATCTCCAGCCAGCCAGCTCCATGCCCCGGATGTGAGTCATGGCTTGTCCGTGCACACACCTGCCCAGGTGGCTGCCCATTAGTCACCCAGAGGTGACCGTGGCTATCAGATTGGCAGCTGGTCCAGCAGTGCTTGTGTTCAATGACCCTCATGCTCCTTAACAGTGGCCATCAAGAGGAGCCGTGCTGGCCGTGTAGGTCTTCCAGAGAGAAGCCAGGCAGGTGCAAGTACACGAAGCCACGTGTTTTCAGAGAGGCCACATTCGCATCGTTTATTACAGTACCGTATCTAATTGTCCTATTTCATTATTAATTACTAATGCTACTCTTCCTGTGCCTAGTTCATAAATTAAACTGTGCCAGCAGTATGCACAAATAAGGAAGTACCTAGTTCGTACACAATCAGTACGACCCACAGCTCCAGACATCCGCTGAAGGGCTTGCAGAGATTTCCCGGAGGACTAAGGTTCTTTTAGATACAGAAATCTGTGGAGTGGCTCTGACGGGGACAGGAGTGACTCTAACTCAGTGGCTACATGGCAGATTTTCTCTGGTCATCCCGAGTCACACACGCCCAGGCCCCCGGAGCTGCTCCCAACCCAGGGCCGCCTGTACCCACCCCTTCTATCTGTTCTAAACCCAAGGGCAGGCGGCTGACTCACACACCGATGACTTGGTCAGGAACAGGCTCCAACCAACAATGACCATTTACTGAGTGATATGGGGCCTGGAGGTGGGGCCGGCTGGGAGTGGACCCCAATCTTGTAGGCAGTGGGAGATTAACTGGGAACGTGGAGAGGTGGGCAGGGCAGCCTTTCCCTCGGGGTGACCTGGGACTGTCCTCTCTACTTGCGTTCAAGTATGGGGGGAGTGTGGGGAGCGGAGACACCCTGTCTTTCCCCAGGACTCCATCTCTTCTGACTCTACTTCTGGGTCCTGTGATACAGTGTGAAGTCTCTCAAACCCAATGAGAATCCTGTTCCAGCACGACCCCCAGCTTGTGGTTCAGATTTCCAGTTCACATCACCCAAGCCAAAGCAAGAATGAGCTAGGAGATGGTAAGTTATATGGAATCCAGGGCTGGTGATTCACCAAGCACCGACGCCACCAGGCACTGATTGCGATATGCCCTGAAACCATTCGTAGACCAAGATCCCCCTGTGGAAAGAGCTGTCCGAAGTAGCAAGTGTGCGTTTTGTCTGGAGCCTAGAGAGAACACTTGCAGACGGCCCCCCATGGCTGCCTTCCTGGGGTCCTGGGCGGGTGAATGTCCACTGTGGCTGCCTGCCTGCGGTCCTGGGCCGCTGTATCTCACCAAGTGGCAGTTCAGAGTTCTGTGTGTGAGGGAGCCTGTCCCCTGAAGAGAAAAGCCAGTGAGAGGAGAGCGAGGAGTGGGGGAGGGTCTGCGTTTGTGAGAGCGCCCGTCCCAGAGGAGTTTCACCGAAGCCTGGGAGCTCTGCGGGTGGGAGGCGGCAGCTCTGGTTCGCAGTGGGTGTGGCGGGCACTGGGGGCATGTGCCCGGCTCGTGGGCCCACGCAGGAAGAACCCGGGGACAGTGGCTCAGGTGGTGGCTTGTCCTCTACTCTTCAAGTCTTCAGGTCTCTCTAAAAGGGAAGACAAAGCGTCCGCATTGGAGTTCTGCCAGCCATCTCCTAGGACGCGGTGACAAGGGCGCACCCACAATGCCCCCTTCCCCAGACCCCCCCCTGCCCTCCGTATCCACCCAATCACTGACCTCGGAGGGGAGGCTGTGCACCCCTGATGGACGCAGGAAGGTGTGACAAAGCTCCCACCCTGTTTTCGCTACTGCTGTAAGAGGATCCCTAACTTCCACAAGAACATTCTGGGCCTCAACCTCCCGAGGCCCAGCAGCAGCCCACGTCCCTCCCACGGCACCCTTGGTGACCGTACCATGCGGACGTTACCTGCTCAGACGTCTAGCCTGCTGTTTTCTAAGGGGCTGGCCAGTGTTGGCTGAGCTCTATGCTGAAGGGCTCTCCGTGGTGCTCGGTGCCTAGGCCCGGGTGAGTCGTGCCCTTTCAGCCAATTTCCCCCGGGCCTGTTACTAGCACCCAGCCCCTCCCCGCTGCCCCGAGCCAGCCTTGTAAGCCTCACCCAGGAGCGAACTACACTGCTGGCCGCCACCTCTGTGCCTCAGAGTTTCTGGGAACAAGAGGGTCCGCGGGCCTCGCTCTGAGCGCCCGGAACCACGCTGAGCATCCTTTCTCGTTGAAGGCAAAAATCAGCAGAGAAGAAACCAGAATTCACACCGGTGGCACGCTGGTAGCGAGGCCCTTTGTTAGGTAACGGCTTCCACTTACAGAAGCTTCTTAAAAGGTCTTTGAACCCCAGGGACAGAAGGTGGGGGTGGGGGCTGGGAGCCACAGGGAGGGACCACTGGACGCAAGACTGCCACAGGGTGACAAGAAGACAGGGTGACAAGAAGGTCTTGGGGTTCACACAAGTGACAGGTGCCGGCTGAGCTGCACGGACATCGTACCCAGGGCCCAACGATGGCTTGCTTCAAAATGTGCAGCATACATTTGAGCTCAATTAGGAGAAAAGGTCTTTGAAAGCGGTCCAACTAGAAGCATGAGTCCTATTCTGATCAAGTCATCAAATATTTGCCCAGCGCCCTGGCGGGCTCTGACCTGGGCGGCCTGGCTCTTGCTCAGGAGGGCCGTGCTCACTGCGCCAGCCTGCCAGGGCGGGGGAGCCCGAGTCTGCAGAAGTTCCCTTCCCTTGGGCATCCGGACAGTCTCTGGGCCTTGTAGGCTCAAGGCCCCTCCTGCCCATCTTGGAAGCCCCCACCCCCACCATGTGGGGTCCTCAGGAGGTCTTCCGGCCTTTTCTCCAGGGAGGCTCCCAATAAAGCAGCCCTGCCTGGGCCCATCCTGGCTCCCCGTAAGGTGCCAATACCCAGGATGCTTGGAGCCCTCCCACCAGACCCCACCCCTCCCTCCATCCCTCCACCCACGTTCCTCCCGCCCCTCAGGGGCGCCTCCCTTTGCGGCTGGTGGAGCAGGTGTGCACTTCTAGTCCCAGCCCAGGCCGTGCTGTGTGTACCAGGACCCTTCCCACACGACGCCCTGCGCCGGACCAGCTGAGCTAGAGGCCCATGCCCGACAGTTAGCTCGCTAACCAGCACTCCTCCTCGCCCCTGCTCCTCTCTGGGGCGCCATGGTCTCACCAAGCGCGGGGACCCCGTGAGCCGAGGGGCTCCCCACCCACCTCCATCTGCTCGTGGATCCAGTCCAGGAAGGAGGTGATACGAGTGTAGACCCCGGGCTTGTTCACCTCCGCGCAGCCCATGCCGAAGCTCGTGGCGCCCACCAGCTTCCACAGCCTCCGCTCCTGACACACCAGGGGGCCCCCGCTGTCTCCCTGGAGGGCGACAAGAAGGCAGAAGGCAGGGACGCGGGGTCACCACCACAGGAGTCGCAGGCCGGCATGCCCGAGAGTCAGCTCCCCACGGGTGCCCTCGGGACAGCCTCCAGCTGTGTGTCTCCAGAGTCCGCTCGCTGAGCCTCTGAAGGTCGCCAGTGCAGCCAAGGAGGCCTGCCCAGGCCAGACCTCCAGGTCCACCAGGCCCCGCTCACGGCCCCTGCCCTGACTGTCCCCGCACACACTCACAATCAGGCTGGAGGGAGCAGAGACCCCCACCCACCGCCAAGACCTGGCAGACCGGAGGGCTGGCAATCACAGGCTCGGCCGCCAGGAAAGGGATCGCTAAAGCAAATGTCTCCTTTGCACTGTGTCAATTTGCCACAGGAAAACAGCGTCCGTGGCCTGTGCTGTGGCTGGGTCACCGCACGGAGGTCTCCCCAGCCTCCGCGACTCCCGCGACCCTCACCTGGCAGCTGTCCACGCCGCCCTTCAGGTACCCGGCGCAGAGCATGGACGGGGAGATGAGGCCCCCGTACACCTCCCTGTGGTTGCAGAGCTTGTTGGACAGCAAAGGGACAGCCGCGTGGTTCAGGACCGGGGAGGCGTCACCTGTGGCGAAGCAAGGGGAGAAACTGAGGCAGAACGCCGCTCCGAATGCCGAGGGTGCTCGCCAGGAGACGGGGCCACGCCACCCCAGCCGGCACGATTTCAGAAAAGGCCCGCCCTGCGGGTGGCACCGCGGGCCGGCTGGCTGTGGGGCGTGCCGGGCCGAGCGTTCGTGTAAGTGGGCTTCTTGCTCCCATGTGGAGGAGGAGGAGGGCAGCTGCGGCCCCACGCTCCTCTCCAGGGCCGGGGCTGGGCCAGGAGCCTGCACTGGCCGAGTCATGTGACAGAAGGGAAACTGAGACTCATGAAGGCCTCACACCGCATCTGGCCCTGGGGTCCCTCCAAAGACCCCCTCAGCCCCTGGGACTTGTGACGGTAGGAGGGCTGGATTTGGGAGCGAACGCTGGGGAATCCTTCAAAGACTCCAACACAGAGATGCGGTCACAGAAGCAGAGGCCGGGGTCAGCGTCAGAGGCCCGAGGACACTGCGCGGCGGGCTCTGAGGACGAGGATGGGAGGAACGAGGAAGAGGAGGCCGAGGAACGGAGTCTCCCCCACAGCCTCGGGGAAGCACCTGCCTGACAGCCCCGACTTCAGCCCCCAAGACTGAGGCTGGCGTCCCTAATCCCCAGGGAACATTCGCGTCGTTTCTAAGCCGCCGAGCTGAGGGTCTTTTGTTGTCCTGCTCACGCCGACACCGAGGGATGGACCCCCACTTGTCTTACCAGGTAGAGGCTGAGGTAGAGACGCGCCACCCTCCATCTGTGCGGCTTAAAACCCTCCCAAGGTGAGTGTCGCCGGTCCCCTCCACAGAGGGGCCCCAGACCCTCCCTCCCACCTGGGCCCTTCCATGGAACCTGCCTGGTCCTGAGGCTGGCCTGGCGGAAGTGCTTGTCCCTGCCCACCCATGGATGTGGGTCCGCAGTACAGCGATTGGCCCCAGCCCTTGAATTCTTGAACAGCTCTGGCATGAGCGAGATGCGTGAACACGGAAGCACCCTGGCATGTGGCTGTCAGGGGAACCATTCGTGGTGCCCACCGCCCTCAGCCTGTGTGTTGCCTCAACACCAGCACCACAGTAGCACGGGGTTCTCTGAGAAACGGGATCTCCTAGAGACAGGCAGCTCAGAGCCTGGTGAAAGCACAGCCGCTCCTGGCACGGCTGGACCGTCCACGGGCAGGAGGAGGCAGCACGCCACACGGACAGACCAACAGAGGGACAAGGCATCGTGGGCCTTCTGTGGGTCGGAGCAGATTGCTAGCCAGAAAGTGCGGTCTTCCAAAGAGCAGACATGTGCACACACACACACCTGCACACACACACACACCTGCACACACACACACCTGCACACACACATGCACACGTGCACACACACGTGCACAGGAACTGAGGAAAGGAACACAGGCTTCGTGTGCACAAAGTGCTCACATTTCAAGAATAAGACCCACTGACGGCCCTTCCTATGTGATCCGTGTAAGGTTGAATTACACACCTCCAAAGACCCTCAGGCACAAACTCTTCACTGGGTACTGCACAAAACTTGGGGGGCCATGGCACGGATCAGATGGAAGAGAGGAGGAGGGGCGAGGGGAGGAGGGTGGGGAGGAGGAGCGAGGGAGGGGGAGGAGGGGCAAGGCGAGGAGGGTGGGGAGGAGGAGCGAGGGAGGGGGAGGAGGAGGGAGGGAGGGGGAGGATCAAGGGGAGGAGGAGCCAAAGAGAGGGAGCCCTCTCCCTCATGCTCCATTCTCCTCCTGAGAAGTTCTACAGTTTCACATGCCCGGGACAAACAGAACCTGGCAAGGCCCCAGGCGTGCAGGGCGGGGTGGGGGGTCATCACAGCGGGACACGGGGGGTTCCTCCCTGTCCCCAGGCTGTGGCAGAGTGTGACTGGAGAGCACTGACCTCCGTCCTCCGTGGCCCCCCATCCTGAGGTCCAGCACACCTTTCCGTCCGGGAAGTGCTCTTCAGAGTTGGGCAGACACACGGGTTGGATCATGTCTGCAGAAGGGGGAGTTGTCACCTCAACCAGTGGCCCAGAGCGCCCCTGCCGTCAGGCACGGGCTTCTGGGGAGCACTGACCCCCGTGCCAGACAGACATCCGGCCTTGGTCATGGAGACCTAGCCCACCCCATCACCCCCAGCTTCCCTAACTCTGAAAGGCAGCCCTGGACAGCGGCCGGGCTCCTGAGACCCACAGCAAGCCCTTGTGTCCACACCAGGCAGGAAACAGCCCAGGCACATGGTCCACACGGTCGGCGCCCAACGGCACAGGGCGGTGGGTAAACCGAGGGGTCTGGTTGCGTTTTCCAATGGAATTTCACTTGCTGACAAGGGCCGTGGGGCAGGCCGGCCGGCTGGCTCCTGGTCTAGGCCTCGGGCACACCGTGCTTCACAGAGCACTGCCTTCACGTCCCGCTGCTCCCGACACGCTGCAGCCGGCTGGCCTGGGCGTGGGCATCCAGTGCCTGCCTGGCTGGGCTTTCGCAAAGCATTGTGGGTGCCCTGCCCTGGCTAAGGGAATATTGGAAAGTACGGAAGCATGAGAAGACTCTCTGTAACTCTTGCTGGTGTGCGAGTACTGGAGCCTTATTTTATATAACCAGGTATTAGGCCTCGCAGCCAGCAAATAGCAGACAACGGCTTGTCTCGCTCTTCCAACGTGGCCCCTGTGACCAGATCTGCAAGTCACACTTGCTCATCCGTGTGGAATTGTGCTCTAAAGGTCCTGTCCCCTGGTGGTGACCCCGCCTCCCTCCATGCCCCTGTATCCCTTGGGAAGAGGTGAGGGGGGCTTTTGTTTATCTAGAAAGAGTTTTTTTGGGGGGCTTCATTGCAGTTACAAACAGAGACTCTTATCATGTGTGACCTTGCTGGGGTTCTGTAATGTCCAGAGGACTGGACTTCTACACCTTCTGGAGCTGCAGAGCTCAGCCTCTGGTGGGTGGAGGGAGAGATGTTAAGAGCCTGCTGGGAGCTTAGGGTGCCCAGTACCTCCCGGCAGTAAGGAAGCGCTGCTCCTCAGCCAGGCTGGGCTCTGCTGCTCCCCGCCAGTGCCAGGACCGGGAAGCGCTCCCGCTTCTCTCCCACCACCCAGAGGTGCCCGGTGCCTGGTACACTTTCTGCCTGCAGGTGGCACTAACCAACCAAGAAAATCAGAGTCGAAGCAGGAATGTTCTGACGCTCCATCAGCACAGAAACCACAGCTGCGCTCTACAACCCCAATCTAGAGGAGGTCACGGGCTGCTAGAACTGAGCATGTGTGTCGCACAGAGTCGTCCTAATAATTCCAGGCCCAAATTGTCCAGGATACACTGGGAACTCACTCAGCACACTGAGAACAGGAAATCACAGCGGTAACAAAGGTGACCACAGATGCCAGCACCCCAGCAATCAGACACTGGGGTTTTTTGAACAAAGATTGTAAAGCAGCCATCATAGCAAATGCATCAACAAGCAATCAAGAACTTCCTTAAGACACGTGAAATGTGGGGCTGGGAAGGTGGCTCATTGGTAGAGCGCTTGCCTCGCATGCATGAGGCCCTGGGTTTGATACCTCAGCACCACATAAGCAGAAAAAGCCGGAAGTGGTGCGGTGGCTAAAGTGGTAGAGCACTAGCCTTGAGCTGAAGAGCTGAGGGACAGCGCCCAGGCCCAGAGTTCAGGCCTCAAGGCTGACAAAAACAAACCAACCATGAAATGTAACAGTCCGGCATAGAACCCCAGACATACCATTGAAGGTGAGTGGTCCAGCCAGCTTCATGAGAGCAATGTCATTGCCCAACCTCTTTGGCTTGTATTTGCTGTGGTAGATGATTTTCTCCACCAAATGGGAAGGTGCTGGACTGTCCAGCAGAGAAACTAGACCCGCTTGGACGGTCCACGACTTGGGGAGGTAGAGGCTGAAATGAGCAGAGCAAGAGGTCAGGCCCATCAGAGAGCCAGCCACTTAACCACCACGGTTGTTGTCCCAAGAGCCCAGGGCGGATGGGAATCGGTCATCAGGCACAAGGCTGCCCAGCCTCTGTCCACCCCCACGCCCTGCACCACCAGGGCCTTGCTGTGTGTGAGATCCACCTCTCCAATGCAGCAATCTGAACCATTCTCCTCTAAGCACAACCAGAATGGAAGGGAGGGAAAGCAATAGCAGTATCGGGCTGGTGGTGGGGTTATTGGGTTTGGAAATCTTCTCTATGGCTTTCTTGTCCTCTCAACTCCTGAGTCCATTTTGGGTGGACTCGATGTCCTCCACATACCCTCCCCCTCCCCACATCCCCATGTTGCGACAACTCACCCTGGCTTAGCTACAGTGTGAGCAGCTACAGTGAGCAGCAGGAAGGAAAGCGCTAGGGCCTCTGTATTTGGTGGGTTTCCTCCTGCACATGAACTTCCTCCTCTTGCTATCTTTTCTGTGTGAGCCACAGGTCCAAACACTTACAGTGAACTGGAATCGTAATCACTCCCGGCCATGCAAATAGGGCCCCTCTGCATGGACAGGCTTTGTGGAGATTGCCTTCTAGACCTGCTGCTGGCTTTGTGGAGATCAGTCTGTCTGTCTTCTGGACCTCCTGATGGCATGGTGGAGATTGGTCTGTCTGTCTTCTGGACCTCTTGCTGGCTTTTTGGAGATCAGTCTGTCTGTCTTCTGGACCTGCTGCTGGCTTTGTGGTGATTGGTCTGTCTGTCTGTCTTCTGAACCTGCTGCTGGCTTTGTAGAGATCGGTCTGTCTGTCTACTAGACCTGCTGCTGGCTTTGTGGAGATCAGTCTGTCTGTCTGTCTTCTGGACCTGCTGCTGGCTTTGTGGAGATCGTTCTGCCTGCCTGTCTTCTGGACCTGCTTCTTCCCACCCAAAATCAGCTCCATCCCTGCCTGACCCCGTCCTAGTGAGGAGCTGGGGAAGGCGGGGCCCCGCCGGCCAGGGGCACTTACTCATAGACACAGTGCGCTGCGGTGACGATCCACAAGGGGGTGACCACGGAGCCCCCACACAGGTGGTACCCCTGGAACTGAAGACTGGCCTGCCAGGGCCACTGCGCGAGTGCAGACATGTTTCCCCCAACAATGCGCGGGCTGTAGCCTGTTCTCTGACCACAGACTGGGGAGGGAGAGCAAGGACTTGCAGGTAGACACCACATCCAAAGACGCCCCAGTGTCCAGACCCCCATGACCATTCCCAGGATGCCACTGGCTCCCCCAGCATACCAGGACCCCTCTGCACAGCTACAGGTATTTGTGGGTGCTCCTCTAGACCCCTGTGCAATGAGAACTGTCCTCTGCCAGGAGCCTTTGGGTTTGGAGAACCAAGCCGCCCACGTATGCTCTGGGACGGGCTGGCCCCCAGAGGGGACCCCACAGTCCTTGGGAGGTGGAGGCTGGAGACCGGACTCAGCCAGTGCTGTCTTCCGGCTGGTTCTCTGCCTGTCCAGAGGCTTACCTGTGCACTTTACGGTGACCACGTGACCCGAGGCACACCCCTCCCTGAAAGGAAGAAACTGTTGTCACAGAAATAGCTGAGCCCTGTGACATGAATATTTCTCTCTCTTTTTTTACTTAATGAATGACAAAAATAAACAACTCCCTCTCATTCAAACAAAAACTTCTAGCCACTTAAGTGAGGCCACACAACCTCCCAGGATGCACTGGGCCAGCTGTGGGGGCTCAGCGGAGGCCGCCATTCCCCCGGCTCCTCGCACCCATGGCCTGGGGACAGCGTGGCTGGCTACGCAGGGCCCGGGCGGCCGCAATCACACAGCTGGGTTGGGACTCCTTGCTAGGAGCAGCTTTGCCTGGCACCTGCCCCCCCACCGTGCTTCTCTCACAGTGGAAGAAAAGGGTTCCCCAAATCCTGCTAAGCAGTTCTGGCAGCAGAGCCCCCGTGTCCTCACACCAGTGAAATCAGGGTCTCCAGGCTGGAGGTAGGACCCGCGGGCAGCACCGGGTCCCGGGGGCCGGTGCACGCCACGGCGGATGGGCTGAGACGCCTCTGATTCCCGGGGAAGAATCCAGGCCTCGGGGTTTGGACCCGGCATGAGGAATACAACAGGGATTCCGAACACCTGCCGACCTCCCCCTGGCTGTCTAACAAGGACCAAGGCAGGTGCACCCTGCCCTTCCCTCCAATCCAACCCCAGCACCCGGCTCCACCGCTGCTCCCTGAGCTGAGCCGGGGAGCTCCACAAAGCCAGACAGCAGCGGATCTGACCACTCACCTCAGGTACACCGAGTGGTGCAAGGTGGTCACCTTGTCATCCGGCAAGAGGTGATTGATGGACACGAAGTCCACCTGGAACTGCTCCTCCAGCATGTCCACCCTCAGGCTGTCTGAGCTCACGTAGCTGCAAGCACATGGAAGTACAGACCCAGGGACCCCTGATTTAGGGACACCTGTCAGCCCGAGCCCAGGTCAGCGCAGGACAGGATGGTCACAGTGGGGGACCTCACAGGGCATACCCCACTGCCCCAAGCCATCCAAGGCTCCTTCTGCCAGTATGGTGACCGGCACACGCTGTAGCAAGGCGTTCCAGCCAGGTGTCTGCAATGACGGCACTGCCCAAGCCCCAGGACTGCCCGAGGAAGGACACTCCTCACATCATTAAGTGGGTCCTGCCCTGGTGCCTTCAACGGAAGTGGCTTTGATGGCTGTATGCAAGCCCCAAGGAGAGGGAGCCGCAGCCCAGCTAGCCATGCTGCTGTCAGCTGGGCACCACAGTGGAGACACCTCTGCCCAGAGCTGGCTGGGGGTTCCCTGGAGAGATGAGCACAGAGACAATGTGGGCTCAGGACCGAGGGATCGTCTCGGGTGTTGGGCCAGGGGTGTGGGGACAGCACCGGTAAAGGCGGGAAGGCTTGGGGACACGAAGGTGCCGCTCAGTGGAGGAAGCGTCCTGGTCACTGCCGGCGCTCATCCCAGGAAAATTAATAAAACACCAAACTTCCGGTGTCTGAGAATTGCTGGGAGAGGTGGGATAAAGGAAACCCAGTGCCCAGGCCACAGCTTGCTCAGCCAGCAGCTCATCAGCCCTCGGCTGCCGGGAGTGCCACAGGCAGACGAGCAGCTGATGAAGCTTAAAGTCCACTTCAGCTTGTGTTTGAAGAAAATTCCAGTGGCTCACGCCTGTCATCCTAGCTACTCAGGAGGCTGAGATCTGAGGATCACGGTTCAAAGCCAGCCCAGGCAGGAAAGTCCATGAGACTCT